ATGTGCTTCTGTCACAGACCTTATCTTGTGAGCCTGACGGCAGAGGAAGGCCTCTCGTACGGCTCTGGCTCGAGGGCCACTGTAGGTGGGACGGCAACCACAAGAGCATGGCGGGGTATGAGTGCCTGGTCTGTGCGGGAATTGCTGGCACTTTGCTGGCACATGGGATGGCTGGACCGGCTGGAAGCACAGCAGGCTGGTAGCAGGCAGACGTCACATCTGGACTGGCAGGTGGCAAAGCAGGCTGGTAGCAGAGCAGGCAGGCAGTGGAGGAGGCTAGTAGCAGACTGTATGCAGGGTCAGACAAGCCGGGTCGGTAACAGATAAGCAGAACAGGCATGAACGGCAGGCAGAAGAATGGTAGGGTCACAAGCCAAGGTCGGTGATGGTGGGAGCAGATCAGGCAGATACAGAAGGCAGAGATTGAGTCCAAAATGCAAGCCAGGGTCAACAGAGGATCAGGCACAGGAATACAGGGGGAGCAGCAGATCAGACAGCAATTCACTAGTGCAGCTGCTGCACCTATAAGGGCCAGTGGGCGCCAGAATTAGCCAATGCACATTTTACATGCGCATGGTCGCACACAACAGTACGAGCACCTGCAGGCCGCGCTTGCGGCTACGAGCCTCAGCTATGCCATGGCCAACATGTTCCTGACAGCTTCACTGTGATCACACAACTTTGCATGACTGTGCTGTGCAGAGCCATCCAAAGCAGTGTGCACGAGATGACAGGGAGAACTGTTTTGTTTACAAACAGTTCTCCCCATCGGAGATGCTTGGCACTCACCGGGTGCCGGTGAGTAATCAACGGGTGGGACCCGGTGATTGACAGCCCCTGCCGCGAATGGTGGCATGCGTAGGGCACTTGTGTCCCCCTACCCAGAGATGCAAAATCACATATATATATATATATATATGTGATTTTGCGCACCTGTGCCACCCTGTAGCCCTATATCTGCTATATGGTAAACAGGAAGCAGTTAAGGTAAAAAAAAACAACAATATCCATTTTCTACCTTACAATTACCTGTGTTCTCTGACCATTCAGCTGCTGCTCCGCTCTCTCCTTTCATCTCTTTGACACTTGGCTTCATCCAGCTCAAGATGATCATGAAAGCATGTCAAGGTCACTTGCCAGTGAGGTTGCTTGCTGGCACTGACACTTTGCTGACACAAAAGGCTTTGCCACTGGCATTAATGCTTAAGGTTGAATTACGCTCCAGTGCTGCCATCCGGGGAGAGGAGAAATCGTGACAACAGCTGCAATGTGTAGTGACATCACTCATAGTCTTACTATGGGGCATCCATTGTTGGCTGTACACTGGAGCCGATCATGTGACCATACTGGGATGCCCTGTGAATAGGTAGGTACACACATCCTTCCTTTACAGGCTAGTTAGTATTGGACTTAGAATGAGGGTGGGCGCATGTTTGCGATTAGACCTCTATGAATGCCTCTGCTCCTGCCTGGCTTTGTCAGTATTGCTGGCTGGCTTGATGCTTTTGCCTGCACACAGAAGCAAATGGTATTACCAGACATATGCTCTGCTACAAGCAGGAAGTGCTGCTGCAGCTGCTCTGTCCTAGTTCTCTATTATTACCCAGTGCATTCTGGGATACAGAAACCTCCAGGGTCTCTCCTCTAGCACCCAGCTAACACCTTATAAATTATTATTATTATTATACAGTATTTATATAGCACCAAAAGGTTTGCTCAGCTCTGTACATTATAGTGGGGGACAGAACATGAGACAATACAGTAACAATACAATACACGAGGGGGTCAAGGGCCCTGCTCCTTGGAGCTTACAATCTATGAGGGAGGGGATAGTGGTACAGGAGGAAGTGGCTGTGGGGGATAGAGTGGTAGGAGGAGATCGGCTGTTAGGTGAGGGCGGGGTAGGCTTCCCTGAAGAGATGGGATTTCAGGGTGCGCCTAAAGGTGAGGAGGGTAGTTGACAGTCTGATGGATTGGGGTAGTGAGTTCCAGAGGATGGGGGAAGTCCTAGAGAAGTCCTGCAGTCGGGCGTGGGAGGTGGAGACCAGGGAGCTAGAAAGTAGGAGGTCTTGTGAGGAGCGAAGAGTACGGGTTGGGTGGTATTTGGGTATCAGGTCGGTGAGGTAGTTTGGGGCAGCGTTATGAATGGCTTTGTATGTCTGTGTTAGTAGTTTGAATTTAATGCGTTGGGCAATCGGGAGCCAGTGGAGGGAAAGACAGAGGGGGGTGGCAGATGCGGAGCTGTTGGTAAGGTGGATGAGTCTGGCCGCTGAGTTCAGGATAGACTGAAGCGGGGATAGTCTGTGATGAGGTAGGCCGGTGAGAAGGGAGTTGCAGTAGTCCAGACGTGAGATAATAAGGGAGTGAACGAGTAGTTTAGTAGTATCTGGGGTTAGGAACGAATGTATTTTGGAGATGTTGCGGAGGTGGAGCCTGCATGAGTTTGCCAACGATTGGACATGGGGAAGGACAGGTTTGAGTCTAGAGTGACACCTAGGACTTTGGCTTGTGGGGTGGGACTGATGGTGGCGTTGTTGGTCGTGATGGAGAGGATGGGGGGGAGGGGGGCACGGGCTGGGGGGAAAATCAGGAGCTCGGTTTTGGAAAGGTTCAATTTGAGGAAATGGAGCGACATCCAGTCTGATATGTCGTTCAGTAGGTGGGTGATACGGGCGGAGACTGAAGGGGTGAGGCGAGGGGTAGAGAGGTAAATTTGCGTGTCATCGGCGTAGAGGTGATAGTTGAAGCCATGGGAATGTATCAGTTTGCCGAGGGAGGAGGTGTAGTTGGAGAAGACAAGGGGCCCGAGGACCGAGCCTTGGGGGACCCCAACAGAGAGGGGGAGAGAGGGGGAGGTGGTAGCGTTATAGGTAACGCTGAAGGAACGTTGGGATAGATAGGAGGAGAGCCAGGAGAGAGCGGAGTCTCTGATGCTGAGGGAGTGTAGTTTGTTAAGGAGGAGGGGATGGACGACTGTGTCGAAGGCCGCGGAAAGGTCGAGGAGTAGGAGGAATGAATAGTGGCCATTAGCTTTGGCGGTTAGCAGGCCATTAGTGATTTTGAGTAGGGCGGTTTTGGTGGAGTGTAGGGGACGGAAGCCAGACTGTAGTGGATCGAGGAGGATGTTTTCAGTGAGGTGGGCGCATAGGCGATTGTATACTAAGCGCTCAAGGAGCTTGGAAGTAAATGGCAGCAGGGAGATGGGTCTAAGGTTGTTCAGGTCAGTGGGGTCCAGGGAGGGTTTTTTGAGTATGGGGGTGATGTGCGCGTGCTTTAGGGGGGAGGGGAATGCGCCAGTAGAGAGAGATTGAAGATGTGGGTGAGGGAGCGTAGGATGGAGGAGGAGGGTGACTGGAGGAGTTGTGTGGGAACAGGGTCAAGGTGGCAAGTGGTGAGGCGGGCTTCTGAGAAGACCTTAGTGACCTCCTCAGTGGTAGCAGGGCTGAAGGAGCGGAGTGTTGGGGAGGTTATAGTGTGTGGGACGTTAGGTGTGGTGGGAGGTAGGGCGGTTGCGAGGTCAGAGGAGGGGAGAGTTGGTGGGGTTATGGTGGGAGGGAGGCTAGGCGGGAAGGTAGGTTGAGCATTGGCGATGTCCTTACGGATTGCATCGATCTTATTTTGGAAGTGATTGGCAATCTCTTGGGCGGTGTGTGAGGTACTGGGTGGGGGGGTGGAGAGAGTAGGGAGTTGAAAGTGGAAAAAAGAGCCGGCGAGGACAGGTGGAGAGGGTGTTGATGAGGGTTACGAAGTAGGCTTGTTTGGCGGCATGGAGGGAGGAGGTGTAGGTGAGGAAGGCGGATTTGTAGAGGGAGAACACTCAAGGCGATCTGGTTTTGCGCCATAATCGCTCCAGTGCACGACTGCATCGTTTAAGATTTTTAGTTTGGTTGTTCTGCCAGGGTTGAAGCAGTCTGGGTCTAATGCTACGTGTGGTTAGGGGTGCTAAGGAGTCTAAGGCAGCTGACAGCGAGTCGTTGTACGCAGTAGTGGCCAGGTCAGGGCATGACAGTGGAAGGATACTGTCGTACAGACGGTCAGCTGCAGAATGGAGAGGGGCCGGGTTCAGGTTGCGGAGATTACGGCTGGTGATGGTTTGACATTTGGGGGAGGAGGCGTTATAGGACGGGGAGATGGAGAATGTAATGAGGTTGTGGTCAGAGAGAGGGAAAGGGGGGGTGTTTGTGAGGTTGTGGAGGGTGCAGAGATGGAAGAAAACGAGGTCCAGGGTGTTTCCATTGGTGTGGGTGGAGGACTGTGTACACTGTGTGAGTGCAAAAGAAGAGGTTAAATTGAGGAGTTGGGATGTAGCCGGATTGTAGACATTGATAGGGATATTGAAGTCTCCAAGGATGATGGTGGGTAGCTCAGAGGAGAGAAAGAAGGAAAGCCAGGCGGAAAAGTCATCAAGAAAGCTGGATACTGATCCAGGAGGCCGATAGATTACTGCAATCCTCAGAGGGGTGGGAGAGAAGAGTCGGATGCAGTGGGCCTCGAAGGAGGAGAAGGATAGAGAGGGGGGGGGTTTTTGGAGGACCTGGAAGGTGGTCAGCGGTGACAAGAGCACACCGACCCCACCACCTCTACGGCTGCTCGGTCTGTGTGAATGGGACCAGACAAGACCTCCATAGGAGAGTGCCGCAGGGGAGGCGGAGTCAGTGGCTTGGATCCAGGTTTCAGTGACCGCTAGGAGGTTGAGGGAGTGGGAGATAAAGAGGTCATGGATGGCAGTGAGCTTGTTAGCTTGTTGCAAACCGATCGGGCATTCAGGAGTGCAACCGAGAGTGGAGGGGTGGATGCGGGGAGGAGGGGGACAGGTATAAGGTTGAGGGGGTTGCTTCACTAAAATGCTGTAAAGGCAATAGGCGTGGTTAAGGTGTGGTTATGACCTGCTACTAGTGATATGCGCGCTAGGACGTTCTCACAGCGCGCAGCGCGGCGATTGACAATGCGCTGTGTCCGATCACGGAAAGAGCCGAAGATGTCAGCTCGGTCATGTGATCAGCTGTGCCCAATCACAGCTGATCACATGTAAACATGGAAATGCCGGTTATCGGCATTTCTCTCCTCTCGAGCTGTCATGCTGACAGCTCGAGAGGAGAGCCGGTAATCGGCTTTCCGCGGAGGGGACATGTACGCTGATCATCAGGGCACTGATGATCAGTGTGGCCCCAGAAGTGCCACGTGCCAGTGCCCATCAGTGCCACATATCAGTGCCCATCTGAGCTGCCTTTCAATGTCACCCATCAGTGCCACCTATCAGTGCCAGTCAGTGCCGCCTATCAGTGCCAGTCAGTGCTGCCTATCAGTGCCACCTATCAGTGCCAGTCAGTGCTGCCTATCAGTGCCATATATCAGTGTCATGTATCAGTGCTGCCTTTCAGTGCCCATCAGTGATGCCTGTCAATGCTCATCAGTGCAACCTACCAACCTACCAGTGCCTCCTCCTCATCAGTGCCCATCACTGCAGCCTCATTAGCGCACATCAGTGAAGGAGAAAAATCACTTATTTACAAAATTGTATAACAAAAACTAAGAAAAAACATTTTTTTTTTAAATTTTCAGTGGTTTTTGGTTTGTTTAAGAAAAAATAAAAATCTCAGAGGTGATTAAATACCACCAAAAGAAAGCTCTATCTGTCTCAAAAAAATGTCTCAAAAAAATGAGAAAAAAATTCATATGGGTACAGTGTTGCATGACCGCGCAATTGTCATTCAAAGTGTGACAGCGCTGAAAGCTGGAAATTGGCCTGGGCAGGAAGGGGGTATAAGTGCCCTGTAGACTAGTGGTTGATTTACATCTTGCCCCAAAGACACAACAGGAAGATCGTTTACTAAAGGCAAAACTTTATTTCCAATTAGGATAGAGTAAGGTAGGATTATAAGGTTCACACCAATGCATTTTTTAGTGCTTTTTGCAGAAACGCACTACAGTCCATTTAACATGGTTTCCTATGGAACATATTCACATCTATGGTTTTCTGAGCTGCTGCGTTTTTGGAAAGGGTTAGGGACTTTTTTAAAAGCAAAAAAGCAGCGTTTTTGCTACAATAGAGTTCAATGCATGATGCCACGTTTTGCGTTTTGCATTTAATTCTACCCAGCAAAAAAAAAAAAATTCCATTTTAACAAAAAAAAAAAAAAAAAAAGTTGGGCAAACCTCAAAATGTGGTAAAAACGTGTCAAAAACGCATGTAGAAAAATGCAAAATGAACTGCGAAAAGCACTGCAAAATGGACAAAAAGCAAACTACATAGGTGTAAATGGGGCCTAACACCTTTTTTTTTTTCTTTGCGATGTGTCCCTGATTTCTCTTCACTTCCTATCCTTTAGCTATAGTCGGAAGTGAGAGGAAATCCTTCCAAAGTGAGGGAATCCTTGGTTGTCACCAGAACTGTGTGCGGGCAGCAGAGTGGCTAAGTGATTAGCACTTCTGCCTAGCAGCACTAGGGTCATTGGTTCAAATCCCTACCATGGCAATACCTGCCTGGAGTCCGCATGTTCTCCCTGTGCCTGTGTGAGTTTCTCTGAGTACTCCGGTTTTTGCCCACACTCCAACAGACATGCTGGTAGTATGCAAATGTGTATGTATAATTGTGAGGGACCTTAGATTGTGCGCTTATTGAGGGCAGGGATGGATTTGAATATACAATATATATGTAAAGTGTTACATAAATTGATGGTGCTATATAAGTACCTGTAATAAATAAACTAGTGTCCCCAATGGACGATTTCACAAGAGGGTGAACCTCCCCTGTGCTGAACTAGGGGCTCAGATCACACAGAACCCAACATGCAAGTGTTTATTGGGAGAACTCTTGCATGGAGCTCCAGGCCGAGGGCGATTGATGGTTTTGTATTACTTCTATTTGCGAATAATCGCTCCAACAGTTGTCTCCTTCTCACCAAGCCGCTTGATGGTCTTGTAGCCCATTCCAGCCTTGTGCAGGTCTACAATCTTGTCCCTGACATCCTTTGACAGCTCTTTGGTCTTGCCCATGGTGGTTTATACACATAACGAGTTGTCGTTAGGAGCGCCTTCTTAAATTGACAGGACTAATCTGTGCACCACATGAGCACACAGCCAGTCTGTGGGAGCCAGAATTAGTGTTGGTTGGTAGGGGATCAAATACATATTTTACTCAATGAACTGCAACTCAATTTATAACATTTGTGTATTTTTTCTGGATTTTTGGTTGATATTCTGTCTCTATCATTTAAAATACAACTATGATAAAAATTATAGACCCTTAATTTCTTTGTAAGTGGGCAAACTTACAAAATCTACAGGGGATCAAATAATTATTTTCCCCGCTGTATATAGCATTCTTGTGACTTCTATCAGTGGCTGGCTGAACACTGGTTAAAGCTTGTAGAAGGAGTTTTCATTCTCTTCTCGCTGTTCTATGAGGCTGCATAACCCCTGACCCTCTGTCTGGACATTGCTGATTGGCCCTGTACCGATCACATGCACCCTCCCCCCCCTAAAAAAAAAAACACCGCTCTAGAAATACACCAAGTATGTGCAGAGTGCATTCCAGGGCTCTGTACTATCAGCTGATGAATTGGGAACAGTAGAAGGAGGGGAGGGGGGAAGACAGAATCAAACATCCTTTTTACACAATGTGGAGGATTAACCCCTTAGGTTCCACAGTGAGTATAACAAGCATGCTTTACTGCAGGGATATTGCATTAAAATTCACCAAGTTCCAGGCAGTAAAATTTACATGCATCAGAGGTCCAAATCTCATGTAGGCCCCTGTGGTGCATTTTCGTGTGCGCCAAACCATGTGTTGCTTCGGTGCAATTTTGAGAAAAAAGGGTCAGGGACTTCTTTAGGTTTGTAGCAGGTAGTGCTGACCTACCCATATGTGCACCAAATACACATGTACAGATCTGGACCTGTTCTCACATCAGTGTCCTCAATCCCCACTGCACATCACAGTCCCCTCCTCGTTCACAGCAAGATCCCTCTTGATGAGTGTCCTCAGCTCCCCCCTTTACATCAACCCCCCCCCCCCCTCAACAGTATTGTCCACTGCCCCCTTCACTAAAGAGTACTCTATCCAATTTTTTTTACAGCATCCCCCCCACATTACTGTACCCAGACTCCCCCCCCCATGTTACTGTCCTCAGGCCCCCCCCCCCCATGCTACTGTCCTCAGCCCCCCTCCATGTTACTTCTACTTTAATATCCTCACCCCCCACACACTACAGTCCTTAGCCCCTCACATTACTGTCCTCAGCCCCCCCACATTCAATCCTCGCCCCCCACACTAATATCCTTAGCCCCTTTAACTCTCCCCCCCACTGTCCTACCTTACACAGACAGTGATTGATTGCTAGACTGCCCTTCATCCTAGCAACCAATCACCTGCTTGTTAACCTCGGGCAGCTCCCCCTCCATCCAGGACTGTCCTGCCTCCCGCTGTCAGCTCTGTGACTATGACCGCAAGACAGTTGGGGGAAGAAATTGCTCTTAAATGGCAGGACTGCTTGGATCCAGATGAGAGAGTGAATCGGTCCGCCATTTAGTGATGCATGCTTTACTGCATATACAGACTGATTTTACACTTTAAGGCTACATGTACCCAGACAATAATACAGGTGTATGGCTGTACAACATAAAATACGCCTGTATTTACAGCACCCAAGGAGCCCCAGTTGCAGTGTATTTCTGTCCGTACAGAATTACAAAATATGCTGTGCTGTTGTGATCTCATGTGAATGCCAATGCTGGCAATTATATGCGCGTGGGTGTATTTCTCCGGGATGACAACAATACAAATCTAACTGGAGCTTTAATACTGACACTGTGGGTTGATTTACTAAAACTGGAGAGCACAAAACCTGGTGCAGCTGTACATGGTAGCCAATCAGCTTCTAACTTCAGCTTGTTCAATTAAGCTTTGAGAAAAAAAAAAACCTGGAAGCTGACTGGTTCCTGGGCAGAGCTGCACCAGAGTTTGTACTTTCCAGTTTTAGTAAATCAATCCCAATGTATCCAAAATTAAAAAATGTTTGGAATTACACGTTAAAGCAATAAAGTAATGCATGTTATGCAGGCCCAGACTGGCCATAGGGCACATCGGTCATTTGCCCGGTGGGCCGGGATTGCCTGGAAAGGAAGGGCCGCTAGGCGGCCCATAGAGGAACCAGACCATGCATTTCTCTCCTGCCACCACTGAATGCCCATGTCCAGGGGCGGACTGACAACTCATGGGGCCCCCGGGCAATAGGGGATCATGGGACCCTTGTGTCCTTGCCCAAACTCAAAAAGGCTTATGAAAAAGGTACCAGGGGCATCTCATGGGGCCCCCTACTGACCCCGGGCCCTCGAGCAGTGCCCGAGTTTCCAAATGGTCAGTCCGCCCCTGCCCGTGTCTCCTCCTCTTACTCCTGCAGGCATTCAGTGTCAGCAGGGGAGAAATGCACGGTCTGGATCCTCTATTTGCCGCCCCTCCTATCCAAATCCTGCTGCCTTGGGCTCTTGTATGCTACCCCATGGCTGACCCCCCCTCCTTCATCTCCCGCAGCGCTGTCGCCAGGTTCCCCCCTCCCTGCAGCTTCTACGGAACATCTGTCAGGATAGACCATCCCAGTGCTGACAGTTCCCTCCCCCCCACCACAGACGGAGAGGAGAGAGATGGCTGGTTCTGCGCCTCCTCCCCCCCGCCCTCTCCTCCTGTGTCTGCCCTGCCCACACTCCCCGAGAGTCTTGTATCTCCCCCCCTTTTTTCTTTCTTTCCTGGTTTCCCTTTCTTCCTCTCTCTTTCCTTCTGTCTCTCTCTCTTCCTTCTTTCTTTTTCTACTTTCTCTCCTACAAAAAAATAATATAAAATTGTAAAAAATTTAATAAAAACCTACTGACACTAGTGGCGGAACTACCAGGGTAGCAAAGGTCACTCTTGCGACCAGGCCCTGCCGTTCCACCACCTGGCTCCGAGGAAAGTCTATTCAATATAAGCACTCATTGGTGTTTGATTTACTATGGGCAACTAAAGGCTATTCACTTTGTTAGGAAATTTTCCCTTAGTTTAGTAAATGAGGTGAAGCGCTGCTGACTTCCATCAGCCAATCATGTGCAAGCAAACATACAGTTTTTGTTTTTCAAATCTTTTTACACGTGATTGAGCATTCTTTGCAGAGTTCATCGCATTCAATAAGCTATGGGAAAATTCCCTTGCAAAGTGAACTGCCTATTTGCAGTTAGTAAATCCACCACATTGTGTTTGAAAATGGAATGGCATTGTCCTGGTTTTTTTTTAATGACACAATCTCATCAATGTATGGTTCTTCAATTGTATTCTCCCTATTAGGTTTTGATTCAGATATTTCATTGTTAAGTCAACACCAAAAAAACGTGATTGACTAGGAAAAGCTCCTCACCTAATTGTCTTCTGTCAACATCAAAACACTCAGAATTATGTGGGTGTGTTGCTAGACTTTACACCAAACATAGTTTGCAGATTATGGTTTCTTGCATGCTTTTCTTAGAGCCCATTGTGTGACTGTAGTGGTTTTAGGGCTCGTTCACACCAAGTGCGGTAGGACTGCGTTGGGCAGCTATTGCGACTATGCCTTGCACCTGGCCA